ACAGCGAAAAAAATGTAAAATACTAATTAATTTCGTCATATTTTTAAATTAACATGGTTCGAATTAAACCGAACGAAATCTCATGGTATTTAGTATGCCAGAACACTTTTTTATAAACTATCTTATTTAATTTATTTAGTTGCTGATTTTTCTATTCACATCTCAGCTGGCCACCTAGAGGGTAGCAATATATATTTCGTTCTCCTGTTTAAAATGTCCTTATTTTTTTTTTATAGGAACATCATAATGCGTCTCTAAATAATTATTGTTACTGTAATTGTGACTCAATAATAATTTTTTTTTGGTTTTTTTAATCAATCTACAAAACTTAGTAAAGAAAAATCAAAGAAGTTGAAAATTGTATTTACTGTCTGAATGTCGACCTAAAATTGAATTATTATTATCTGTACGGTACTTTGCAATCTAATGTTTTTGATATTTAGATATCTATGAATTTTCTAACAAGAAATTTAATTACATTGCCTATTTTAAGCATAAAACAGTACTCAAGAGATTGAGTCCCATCTTCACCCACTTTGATCGCGAGTGATTATTTTAGACTTAATTGTACCTACATTATAATATGTTATCATTTGTTTCTAAAGGTTTAATTGAAACAAAAATAATCAGGATAAAATTTGTTTATTAATTACCTAATGAAACGTAAAATTCTTCAGGGTCACGAAGTTGCTAAAGATTTCCGGCCTTATATGAAAGATCTTCAATATAAGTTGCAAGTGACACGAAGTAACTTTGAGGAAAACAGTAAAAAACTAAGAAATAGACTTCATGAAATGCAGAAACAATCTCTAGACGAGCCCATAAGAAATTCTAGAGGTCGTAAAGAGGGATACCTCTATCTGCTAGAGAAAAGTATGTACAAAAACTTTGGTATAAAGCAAAATTAAAATGAAATATCGCGTTTTTATTTTTTTAGAGGCGTTTGGTATGACATGTACCAAACACTGGTGTACGTACAATAAGGAAACCAAGGAATTTACAATGTTACCTTACAATCAACTAACAAGTAAAAATATTGTAAGTTTATTAGACATATCTAAAAAAAATGCACGTACGTGAAGTGTTATTAGGCTGAAAGTTTTTAATTTTAGAAAGAACAACCAGAAGTAATGGTTCTTTCGTCTTGCGTCAGACGAATGTCAGATTCGATAGAAAAAAGGTTTTGTTTCGATTTACAAGTGGATTCAAGGCCTGGCATCACTTACACATTCCAAGCTGTTTCCGAAACCGATAGGAAATCCTGGCTGGATATAATGGATGGAAAAGAACCTGTAAGTGCCTAACATTTACTTAATGTTTTCTCTTTTTAGATATAACTCCCTTTTTGTAAAACAATTTTAAAATTAAAAAATTGAAATCAATAGAATGAAACCTTAGCTACTAAGGAAATAGATCTACACATAACTATTACATATGCATTTCTTTTAAATTTATTAATTAATTTGTTAGACATACACGACACCAGGAATAACGAAACTTCAAAAGCAAGATTGTCAAGTCTTGGATGAGATTGGGATTCAGTTTGTGAAGAAGTGTATTGAAGAACTTGAAAACAGGGGCCTCGAAGATGTTGGGATATATAGGGTAGTGGGTGTATCTTCAAAAGTTACCAAATTATTATCTATGTGTTTAGATAGACGGAAATCTAATCGTATTCCAAATTTGGATGATCCTGTCGAATGGGAAACCAAAACTATAACTAGCGCTTTAAAAAATTACCTGAGAAACTTGCCCGAACCTCTCATGACTCACAGATACCATAACGGGTTCATTGCTGCTGTCAGTAAGTGTCTTATTTTTTTTATTTGTATACCCATTTCATTTTATTTTTAATTTTTAACTGTAGTTTCACTTTTTTACAGAAAATGAAACGCGGGATATGAGAGTAAAAGATGTACATACTTTAATTCACAGATTACCAAAGGTTAATTTCGAGGTTTTAAAACTTCTTATCAAACACCTAACAAAGTAAGAAGACGTCGGTTTTTATTAAGTCATGTTTTAATAATAATTGTTCAAATGTAGGGTTGCAGCGAAAAGTGATAAAAACTTAATGTCCATTAGCAACTTGGGTGTTTGCTTTGGGCCGACATTACTGAGGCCTGAAGAAGAAACAGTTGCTTCCATTATGGACCTGAAGTTTTACAATGTAGTCGTCGAAATATTGATAGAAAATTACGAAAAAATATTCAACACCACTCCGGAAACGGAAAATTTAGCGGAATCAACCTCTCCTAAATCTACCAGCAGTAGTACCAAAATTACCAACACAGCAAACGGTGGATCTCCATATTCAAATTCGTCAGGACATTTGTCTCCCAGTGGGCACGCAAGTCCCGTCAATTATTCTACAAACGACGCCGTTTCATCTTCCAATAACATGCGAAACCAATTCAACAATGTTCGTTCCAATATGAGGCACAATGTCAATTACAACCAGCCACTTACTTGTGTAAGTATTAAAAATTTGTATAGAGAGGCATGAAATTATTGAGTATTTAAGTCGATTCCAAAGATAGTAATTTCAAGAATTATTCACTTATTATTAGAAGTTAGAAGAAGAAGAAATTAGAAATATGTATTTGTGATCATTAGACAGTCGACCGTCTGGTTTGGACACGCATCTCCACTCTTTTTTATCCTGAGTTAATTTTAGCATTTTCCTAGCCTAATCTGACCCAGAAATCCACAACTCCTCAAGTGTTTACAAACAGTAATCTATGCTACGTATTCCCCTTCCCGTTTTTTACTCATGCTTTTACTATGTCTGTAACCCTTCGTGCTTCACAATCCTGAGCTATCTGACTTCCTAAATTTCGAAAATCGACAATTTCTAATGGTTTTTTGTATGCAATTTTATATTACCTCTAACTCTACACTCACCTGTCCTTCATAATAATATTTTTTTAANAGTACGATTATGTTTCCGACTACACATACACAAACGTAGAAATACAAGTAGCGACATGTTGTGTTTGTCCCTTTATGTATACTAAGAATGTGTTAATGTATAATTTAATTATCTTACAAGCGATAGAGGATAGAAGATCAAAAAAGACTGCGATAATTTTTATTATTACTTGAACGATATGCTGACCTCTTTGTCGTTGGTATTTAAAACATTTTGTCTCAAAGCACCCCCTTGTCTGTAGCTGCATCAATGACACCATTATCTCCAGCAGACAACTCTGGAATTTTTAACAGCCTGCCTTTGTTTCTTCTTAAATGCAGGTTCTAACTAGATATTTATGTGTTACGTTATACACATGTACAGTATAATACGTTATGCCGTTGGTGGCTTCTGCTATGTTATCGTTAAACAATAAACTGAATCGCAACCCTTATATGGTGTACGTCTTGTAGAGATCGAAATCTCCAGATATTGTATTGATATTGTACCTAATCTTTTTAGAAGAATACTCCAGTCTATCTTGAAATTTAAACAATGATTAATATAACTGTTCCCTTTGGCTTGTGTACAAACCAAATGTGGCGAGGCGATAAACACGTTTTAATAAATTCTATATCTGTTTATCTCTAGCTAAATTGTAGTACTACAAAGCACTTGACGAAAAACAAACATGACATCGTTTGCTATAATATGGTATCTGTTATGAAACAATTTTTAAATTGTTTATACCTTTGTTCATACTACATAACAAATAGTAATTTTTGCGACAATCTAAAATATGGTGAATGCGCCGGGTAAGTTGAATAGCGAGGAGCTATCTATATATATAACTGGATGCAACTTTTGCTATGCAGGTGTGTTTGTGTTAAAAACCTTAGCATCAGTGTTAATATTTAGTATATTTTAACAATGTTTACCGCTACCGCTTTATTTATTGATGATTACACCAATAATTGTATAGATACAAATTCACTTTTGTTTTGTGTTAAACTTTTACTTAAAGGAGTTATGTAATGCAATCTTTAAACTTGATGTTAAGGCTGAGAAGATTTATGTTAACATTAATGTTAATAAACAGTACAATTGTGTTGAAAATTATTGTTAAAATTTTGTTGTTCATTATTAAAATGTGCTGCATAAGTTTTAATATTTTGTGCGATTTAAAGTGTTCTTGTAGCTCATCTTCAAAACATCTTCCTGTCTGTCTAACATAAATTAATATCTTTACGGTTTTTGTATTTAAACTCCTAACATTGATTTTTTATTACTTTTAACATTTTTGGTAACCGAAAGAAAAAATAAAATGCAATTTACTAGTTAAAGAATTCTCGTTATCCTTGTTTAAATAATGTTCGCATGACATATTAAGAGCAGAGCATATTAATGCGTGATAAAAAGATCAGAAACTCTTTTTCAAAAACCCGGTTCACGTTATAATAATTGTTATTAACGCCGTTTGTGACAGTTTCTTATTAGTCTTTGGAATCCAAGAAGGCTATTACTTCTGCCTTTCGTGCAAGAGCTTGTTACTCGAAAATAGTTATTAATGTTAATGACTTTTTCTTGAACTCTATCGACTTCTAATAAGTTTAAGAACGAGATGACTCTTCTAAAGTTGTAATTTTTTGTTTCTTTTCATTTGATTTTGAGCAACATTTTCTCTATTGTTTCAGTTAAAATCCGCGTACGATCAGGTGGTGGCGCCATTAGAAAATTTCAGGAAGAAACACATAGGTGACGTTAAGAGTGGAAAAAAGAAGTTCGATAAGCAAACAGCTAAATTTTGCCAAAGTCAAGAACGATATTTAAATTTAACCGCAAAGAAACAAGAAGCAGTATTACAAGAGGTAAGTTTTATAATTTTCAAATTTTTGTTTTATATAAATTTAATGTGTACATTTCACTCATTGAGTAATTCGGGAAGGCTCATAGGCATTACTGAAAGTCGAAGACATTCGATTTTTCATTGATACATTTTTTATATTTATTTGTTCATCTAAACACCATGTCTAATACAGTTCAGGTTTTAATTACTTTCATACATCAGAATAGGATTAACTACTCAAAAGTCAAAACAAATTCGTTTAATCATTCCCAGGGCAGGGTAGATAAATAAAGACTAAATCATCAATTCTTATTTTATTTTTTGTCGAAACAATAAGTGTCAGGGACATTTTTCCAGTCTCTGTCCGTCTGGCTACGCATCTGTCTCTATATTTGCGTAATTTATTTTAGATTTTTCAACCTGTACATTTTGCGTGCTTTAAGATAATACTAATGGTACGTAAATAATTTTAAATTTCCAAACTCGAGTGGTAAACTCTTGTTAATTAAATTTTTATTAATATAAATATGCATCACTAATCAATATCCCGTTAAGAATTAGGGTGTGCTTATTGTTATTGTTAGTTTCGATGCTGATAAGGTGAGATAAAGACATAATTACAGACTGTTTTGTGTAAGAGATTCCGATCATCATTCTGTTGGATTTTATAAGCCCTGTGGGTGTGACATTGGCATTTGCGACTAAAGCGCCGTTGACCATAGAAAAGCTCTTTATTTCTGTGTGAGTGGTAATTATAAGTTTATTAATTTCATGAAGCACATCCTTATTACAAACAAAGTCTTTCTGACGTAACGCCCACATCGTAATTATTATTCTCATACCTACACGTTTGTTCCATCAAATGTCACCGATTATGATGGTGGCAGCACCCATAAAAAAACGTTATTTATGCATAATAGAAAAGTATTTTCTCAAAATTCTTTGTAATTTTGCTTTTGTTAAGAGGTAATCGAACTACCAAATATACACAACTGCCTGTGCAATTTTTCTTTTGTATCTTTATATATCTGAAATGAAGTGCATATTGTTTTAAGTTTAATTTTTTTTTTTTTAATTTGGTTTTAAATGGGTAGTTTTTCACAGAAATGTGGCTAATAAGTTGTATTTTATTCCTTCAAAATTGTCAATCTTAAATAGAGATTTGAGATGCAATTTAATGTTAAAAAAGTTAATAGAAAAATGGCCAGTATCCCAAAAGTCTACGAATGTCATAAGCTTATAAAATGCGAAATCGTACGAATCGCGAGTATTTACAGCAGCTCTGGTCAAAACTACCTCCGACTGCACAAAAAATACACAAGTTGGTGTAGTTTCTCTTAGAACTACTGCTATATAATGCTACTCGTGCTTCGTTTAAAATTGGCTCCAATATATTTTGTAACCACGAACTCGAATGGGTCAAGTCTTTATTGACCCTATTTTTCAATTAACTTTTAAACAATTTAGGGACTACCAACTACCCACAATTCTAGTCAAAATTTGAATAAAAGAAATTTTTCAAGTTTCAATTTTTTGCAAAATTATTTGCAAAAACTATCAGAAACTTCAGAACTCTTTATTTATTATCCTCCTTAGGTATGAGAGCACTTTTTCTACGATAAAAGGGTGCGGTCTGACGTTAGCACCCCGAAATTTAATTTATTGGTTTTGTTGTTAAAATTCTATCGAGAACTATAGAATTATCCCTAGGGGTACAGAACGCAAGAAAATTCAAACTTCATGAATAAGGGTGCCAACTTCGTGGCAATCAAAGATTAGTTCGGGACAGGAAACAGTGAAGGTGCGTGCCCTATCAGGCTTAGGACTTACGACCGATGACGATTACTTTTATCGTTTTGACAAGGACTGACCCAATCTTTAAGATATTATCCAAAATCGCTTTTGTATTTAAGCATGACGTAAGCTCAGTTTACCCTTTCGTCTAATTTTTCATTTTTAGTTTCGACCTTTCCTATATATCTACCTATATAGGTAATTTGACGACGTAAACTTCGACCCGCGTCTAAAAATAGAGCTTTTGTCTTGATGATTTCGCCTGTCATCGCTCGCGGTCGCCCCGTTCCGTGTCTTTCGCTCTTTGCAAATTTCGGAGGTTTTGGATGACGTACGTTCCCTGAAATAACACCGATATGACGTCACATGCGGGGGTGTAAAGTTATTGATCGGTAACGTCATTGATGGTTGCGTGTGCGCGCTCTACCCCCTTGCGATTTATCAAAGGATTTAGTTCA